GAACAGATATGTTTGGTCCAGTAGGTGCTGTGGTAAGTATATTTAGTCCAGTGGGAGGTGTTGTGGATTCAGTTGTAGGTGTATTTTCAGGCATGGATACTTGGTCACAAGTGACTTCATCCAGTGTGTGATCATCCAACATTTCATCATCAATAAAAGTGTTTGTTTTACTAGACATGCAAGGTAACTTATTTGAGTAAGGAACAAGACATTGCAGTACAGAATTAAAGTTAGAGCCAGCAGGAGCAATGACAAAAGGAAGAATAGTTTCATAGAAATAGACATCTCTAGACACATGAATTCTCTTGGTAGCCAAATTTAAGACCTTGTACCCTTTTGTATTGAAAGGGTATCCAATGAAAATGTGAGGTACAGTTCTTGGTTCAAACTTTTTTTTATGAGTTTTCAAAGTGGTTGGAAAACAAAGGCATCCAAAATTTTTGAGATGAGAGTAAAAAGGTTTCTTCTGGTATAACAGCTCATATGGAGACTTCCCTTGAAGAAGTTTAGTAGGTAATCTATTAATCAAATAAGTGGCAGTTAGTACACATTCTCCCCAGTATTTCATAGGTAATTTTGATTGAAACAACAGTGCCCTTGCTGTCTCAAGAAGATACTTGTGTTTCCTTTCCACTACCCCATTTTGTTGTGGTGTGTAGGGACAAGATTTCTGGTGTATTATGCCCTTTTCTTGAAAAAAACATGTTGCTTCATTATTAGAAAATTCTAAGCCATTATCAGACCTGATGGTTTTCAATCTGGTGTGGAATTGATTTTCTATTAAGGATATGAAGGCTTTTATAGTATGAAGAGCATTGCTCTTACACCTAATGAGCTGTGTCCAAGTAGCTCTACTGTAATCATCTACCATAGTCAAGAAGTAGTGATATCCATCATGTGTTGGTACATTATAAGGTCCCCACAAATCAACATGTAACAGCTCAAATATTGAACTAGTTCTAGTAGTACTTTCTGGAAATGGCATTCTAGTTTGTCTAGCCATTGGACAAATTGTGCAAGTGAAAGGTTGTTTGTTGGAAAACTTTAAAGGAATGGTAGATATGCTTTTCATTTTCACAAAAGGTACATGTCCTAATCTAGCATGCCATAAGAATTCATTGTCTTGACTGAAGGAAAAATGAGTAGTTGAGTTAGAAGTATGATCAGTAGAACAGGTTTCTTTATTGATTATATGAGGATGTCTTGTACTAGATGGTGATGGTGTTTTACAGTAGTTAAGAAGAGAAACAGATTGACATTTTTGATGAGAAACAATATCATCATTTACAGATGGAATGTGACACTTTGAACAAAAGAAATACAAACCATTCCTTGTCTTACCAAGTGCCAGAGGGCTCTTCAGAGAAGGGCCCTGCAGTAAACAAGAATCACTGTTAAAACTAACCATCCCTCTGAGTTGATTAGCCAAACAACAAACTGATATTAAGTTGAACTTGAAGCTAGGTATGTACAACACTTTATATAGAATTAATGTTGGATTCAAACACACATCACCAAATTCAGTCACCTTGACTTTGTATCCATTTGGCAATGTGATTAAGAAGGGATAAGGTAGAGACTTAAGGTTTGTGAGATTGTGTTTTGTGTAGGTCATGTGGTGAGATGCCCCTGAATCAATGATCCAAGAGCCAGCAGTCAATTTTTCACATCTACATGATATATCACCTATCCTACTGATAGAGGAATGACAAGCAAATATACCTGCTAAGCTTGCAGCTCCACTTGACACACTGTTTAAGTAATCAGATTCAGCTCCACCATGCATATTTCCAAGTAAGTTGAGTAACTGTTCATATTGACCTTTTGACAGGTTCACTGGCATTTGTTTTCCCTGCTCAAAGTTTTCTTCACATTTGTTGCCATCACCTTCAGAAGTATGTACATTTGCTGCTGATCCTTTGCCTCTTCCTCTTGGATTTCTTGTGTTGGATGGATAACCATGAAGTTTGTAGCACCTATCTTTGACATGTCCAGTTCGTTTGCAATATTCACAAAACATATTTGATCTATTGCCAATGTTGGAGTTTCCTCTATAGGTATTAGTGTTGTTGAAATTGCCAGTGTTGTTGTAGTTTCCATTTCCCCTACCTGTGCTTCCTCTATAAGAA